CCCTAGAAGTATAAATGCGTTTTACACTTAGATTTTCATAATCGTAACTTAAACTAGTCAGAGATTGACTCGCCATTCACACAGCCGGATGGCTAAGGTAAATATTTGCCCCCTAGGGTGCATTTATGTGCACAACACACTCTACCACCCAACTGATTCAGTAATCTCTACTAATATGATATCCTGAAGTTAATGTGTAAGCCAGTTAGTTCTTCGGAGATGAGGCGATTTTCGCCTCATCTAGACATCCTGAGTGCCCGCAGTTGGTAGATGCAAAATGAGCTCCCAATATTACCTTTCCTTCTTCCTAAAAGTGAGAACCTGTTTCACTTGGTCTGAGGATGCCTGTATTATGCACTATTTGGTGTGTAACTTGAGTTGATACAGGAGTGAAACGGAAATAAAATTATTCATTAATGATCATCTCGAAGGCAATGCTTACTTGAAATCTGTCTGTGTAATCAGCAGACATCAGGATAGATTTATTCCGCAAATCAATTAATCAAAGATTTTTTATACAATATTTTGATATGTTCCTAATTGTGTTTTATCTCAATCCACATTTTTTTCTCAGGTGTCCGAATCCGGTGCAGAGTTACGTCCCTATGGTCAAGCTCATTCTCTATTTCGGCTGTGCACTTTTGGCGTTACAAGCCACAGTCACAATCGTTTTCACTATTTTGAAAATGGAATATTCCTAATTGTGTGTTTGGTCGGTTTCATTGCGATCACTAGGATTTAGGAAGACCTGTTGATAATGTTCTCTCGATTAGCGCAGAACCCCAACATGAGTGAAGTTAAAGTTATTTATACGAACACAAACCGGAACTGATGTGAAATTAGCCAGTATATGAGGCAATAATCGTTCTTTATGGTTTTCTTAATATATACAAGGAAAAACAGACACGTTTACCTGTTGTTATCACTGCTTAATTTTATACGGATAGAAATGAAATCATTTTTGAGTAAACAGTTCTTCTTCATATCTGTGAAGCGATGGGACGAATGATCTTCATATTTTCCGCAAGTATTGTGCAACATCGTTTGGATTAAGGTGCACGACGGCTCAGAAATATCTGTTCTAATGGTATTGAACCGGGAGCAAAATAGTTTGGTCTCAAGAACAGTTGGCTTTGGTTTACGCAATCCACAGTTTGGTTTAGGATATTTCTAGTAAATAACTAGAAATAACTAGAAATGGTGATTTACGAGTTGAAAAGAGGAAAAGAGTTATCTCACATTTTATTTATATTTTTTGTGGAACACTTACTATTGTAACCTCCATATCTTCTTGATGCAGGATTACAAAATAGACATTTTCCGGTAGAGTCTTTCATCCAGATACCGATTCCAAAGGCAGCGAAATACTACCCAGCTGGCAGCCTGTTGGATTTCATATACTGGATCAAATGTATGCTGTTTTGTAGGAAAGAAAAGGCAATTTAATAAAAATACACACGATGATTGAGTAACTGGATTAGTGCTAACCATCTTTAGTGGCTTTGGATTTTGAGGTTTTGGATTTCGGACTCTCTTAGATCTGACTGGTTGCCTTGAAACAAAACGGCTTTCAAAGAGATCGTTGACTTTCTGATACCTCACTTTCTGATTCGAGGATGTCCGGCGAATATTCGTAGTTGTGTATCCATGCGTGACGCCGCATCTTTTCTTACCTTCTTTTCGGTCATGAGGCCGTTCGGGCGCTCATGATCAAGTCAATATACGATGTTCTTCTCTCGGCATATCAAAGGAACCCCTGACCAAATCAAGTGACGGGAATGGATCTGTTTCCCACAGTTCAGTGCATCCTGTGCTACGTGCATATGGCGGACTCAAATATCTGAGTCAACCTGTATCTCAGGTACCGTGTTATCGAGTCAATGATCCCGGTTATGATAACAATCCTTCGTTGTGACCCTTTCTCTCAAATGAAACACACGGTATTGGGCTCCATGACGCTCCGTAATCTTTTCTCCGTGTAATAATTCATCCGATTTTATCAGTAAAACTACATCGAAACTAAGGGGGTTTCCTCCCCATCACGGTTTCCGCTGGAGAGACACTATTTGAGCAGTTTGGTTTCGGGCATGCTCAGATATTAGGCAGTAAAATCTTCAGTATATTCTCCGTTATCTCCCGTTTTTTTCTTTGACAATACTCATTTAAAGATATCCTCAATTCTTTTGACCGTTGAACAAGGGTCACATTTTTACTAAAGAACATCTTTGACCGCTTGTCTTATGCTTCCGCTTCGATCAGGTAGCTGTGACCATTCAGTGAAAAGGTATACTACGTTCATATTCCACTCCATGGGCCTTGTAGTTCCGATAAGGGACACCTATGGTGTTTTGCTGGCATCTTCGACACAGTTGCACAATTGATTCATGAACGATAAGGTTTTCAAGGTTTTTGTCCATGCTGCACCAGTGGACCTAGCTTCAAGCTGGGGTCTTCAGAAGGCGGATCCCCCGCTTGCATAATGTGGGCACAGCATGATTCAGCAAAACCGGATTTGACGGGAACCAATGTGTGTTTACGTCGGTCGAGACTATGGCATCTCCTGAAAACCGCTATCAACCAATACGTGTATAAGGAAACTATTTAACTACCTTCACACTGAAGGGCGTTGCATACCTCTGTGAATATTCTCTGTTGTGACCGACAGAGCATGATTATATCCATGAATAACTCACGTGTTTCGGATTCTACTGGAACAGACAATGACAGTGTCTTCAGACTCCTTGTGCCGTGAGTAAATCCCGGGGGAAGAGTACGTTTGCTTGACCGATATTTGTACTAAATATTTACTGAATGTCGAACTCACGTCCGAGAAATGCGGTTCAATAACGCTGTAGTCTGTTTACATTTGACCCTATCACTGTGTGGAGTGGCTTGTTGTCCGTGAGTAGTGTGAAACGACGACGTCCGGGAAAACATGAAAGATCGCTGCAACAATCCCATGGTTGGAGGCATCGGACATAAACACAGTAATCAGGTTTGGTTTTAAATGTGTGAGCAACAGGTTTGAATTCAACGTCATCATCACCATTACACATCATTACACACTTTTGGGCGGTCCTTTCACTCAGTCTATCAGACTCCTTCCTGGATGGGCATGTCCACGGACTGCCTAAATCGGTGCATATTCTCTAAGAATGACGTAGTATGGCTCATCAGACCAAAGGATGTTTTCACATAGGTCGCAGATCCTGACAGCGGCAGTGCCTATCAATTATAAGGTCCAGATGTCAGATTCAATGCATTAAAAGGATGTATTTGTCTAGGCGTGTGAAAGGTACATATTCTTGGAGTTCTATGAACAAAGAGTTTAAGCGTTATAAAGTTCATCTGGAGGTGAAACATTGTTGATGAAATAATCCAGTTACGCGTTGCTCCCTCGATTCGTGTTAGCCTGGCATCCATGACCTATTGGAAGATCGTCGGAGAAGACATCATGCAAAGGCAAGCAAAATTAAACAGTCCGCGGTTTTCGTAAATTGGCAAAAGCGTTTTTGAGGTATCTGATACACCAAACTGCGCGTATGCGTCCTATGGGTCTAGCTGCGCGAAACGCAAACCGCCATATAGTGTCACAAATAGCTCCGCCATTATTGGTGGCAGATTCTGGTTTGTCTCTAAAGTAGCATTGATTCCAGTCAAGAAGTCAGTACAGAAATAATGCGGATCATTGATTGAATCAACTGTGAATCTAGCATAGCCAAGCAAATTCATGATAGTGCTACCTCCCTCTACAACGAATCTCAACCGTATCGACTGAATTTGTTTTCTTCGCTGGAGCGTTCATTCTCTCATAATGAATATCCAGAAAATAGCACAAAACTTACATCTCTTTAGTGGTCATTTCGTTGGAAACAATATTGTTTTGGCCTTTTCTGGAGTTACATTCTCCGGCACACAGCTAGTTTTCTTTTCAAGCTTTTGATTTGAAATAAAACTTCCAGGCGTGATTGTGGGGTAAATGTTTGCGGTAGCCATGCAGCTTGAATTTCACTTTTAATAGGAACCATTTCAGACTGCGGCATATCGTTTTAATCATCTACCATTTCTGAAGTTTCTATGCATCTTTCAAATAAGTCCTGATTGAATTCAACGAACATATACAACATGGCGGGAAAAATAACGTAGGATTAAAATATCAATCCTCTAGAAGGTTACGTCATCACATCATTGGTTGGTTGAACTATCTGATCGCCTGTGTGTATCGAGAGATGTACTCTGCAGCTTCCAAAACATTTGAAGATAGTGGAGGATTTTTCCGTTAGAAAGGGAGCAGACAGAACTCACTGATGCCCAAGTACCTGCAAACAAATTGAAACCGAGTTCACAGGATCACTGTTCCACTCCATCTGAATGAGCTTTGTGAATAAGCTCTGTGCTTCAGTGGAATCAAATCTTACGGATAAATGACAAAATTCTCACTACAAGATCTCTGTCTGCTCCGTGTAATCAAAGCTGTTTAGTACGTAAATTAATTTTGGGAACTGATATCTGATATCCAGTTTGTTTGTGAACGGCTGTAATGATCCATAACAAAAATCAATAGCCCTTCGCATACTGGTCGTTCCCGTTGTATTTAATTGTTATTCACTTACCGCTTACAGTACATGGTCAGTCAACCGTTAATCCCGTGCAATCTTCTCGTATGACAGTTCCATATAGCTTGAAGGACTATCCAACTCTGGTAGAGTTAACTTACGCAAAGGTTATACGTATTTTGAAGTAAAAATACTATCCACAATCATAATCCATAGTCTCAGTTTGTTTGGTAGCAATCGACAACATTGATCCTATCCGGAATGACGTCAAAACAGAATCAATTACGTATACAATAATCGGTGACCAGTTTGTGAGCACATGACTCGTCAATTGTGTTCCCCGCAAGTTGGATCAATGGTGGTTCGGTCGCTGGTTTCATAAATGGCACCACTGCACTATATCCTGCTCTCTCTCACACACACATACCGACTGAATGCAAGAGGATGCGCTGTCGTGCAATCTCCTTCATTGTGTGGTCCACTTTGGTCTGGAATGTCCTCACAGCCGATCAGTTGGAGTATCGTATCCAAAACGGATTTATTGCTAGCCCCGGTGAATTCCCCAGTGTGGTACTACTCACCGGCAAACAGCATCGATGCACAGGCACATTGGTTGGACCGAACAAAATTCTCACGGCTGGACATTGTGCTTGTGGAGACACGATGACTGACGTGAGTGAGCTCTTATTTTTTTGACAACTCGGTCAAGCGTTCTCGGAAATATTCCATTTCAATTCAGTCTTTTGATTCGTTGATTTGGCAGATGCATTAATTTGTAGTGCGACTATTCAAATGTGTGATTTTTGTGTACATTCACACGCAGGATAAAATTTATCCACCAGTCACACTTTTGTAACCTGATAAGGTAAGCCAGTTAGATCCTGAATCATGAAGATCGGTGTCAAGTGAGGATCCGGAGAACAATCATATACAATGCTACTTGTTTATTGTGTGCTGGAGCGTTATGAGTGGGAGAAAAATGAAAATCAAATTATGAAATGACAATTCGCAACTGCACGATTCTTAGAAAAGTATTTTGAATGGTACTGTTCAACAGGACGATGATGATGACCGAATAGTTGTGTGTGGGACTTTGAGGGGTTGTAAGTGGAACAGAGATCAACGCATCTAGCTCCGAAGAACTAAAACCAGCTAGAGAAGCCGTCGAATCGAGACAGAGGCGACTGCTTGGAAAGGGAGAGAGAGACAAGACAGAATTTTGGGAACAGATTCACAGCTAGTTGGATAGCTTCCGGCAGAAAACTTTAAGGTTCAAAATAAAACAAGAGATTCCTATCCTATACATGGCTACAAAATTCAAGGAGATTTATGCGAACCTTGCCGCGTATTTATGTTGATGCAAATATTCTGTCAATACACTGTTGACATGGATGAAGAATGAGGAGTATAGAGAGTTGGTGGATAACTTTGTTGCATGTGGGGTTATTTCCATTCGAACGATGATTTCACATCTAATACTGTCAGAATCTTCTCCGTAAATTAAAATACTCACGGCCAATTCAATTTGGGTGATGCAGGTACAGTAACTGACATGTTTTTTGATAATCAGTACGAAAGTGACTAAGTACCCAAGTTATGGCGCAGTTTGACTGGGATTTTGACAGGTAATAGCCTTTAAAGTCCCCGAAACCTAATGTGAAGTTGAAAGGGTACATGTGTGAGCAGATGGCCAAATTATTAGACAAATCGACGAAGTTTTCGTTCATTTCCCTGCATTGATCAACCAATTTCTTCATACAGTAGATATTTCACGCCTTTTCTGCAGAGCAGTTTGTGAACCGAAAAAGCTTCACAAATATCTATGGTCAAATGTTGTATATTGGGCGACTATGATCAATCCGGTAAGATAAAGCTTCATTGTGTCATTGACCGGAATTGGGATTGAACTGAATGACCCCAAAAACAGTTCTGAAGCAAACAAAATGTGACGGATTCGTTGGAGAGGGGTGTTCGGTGAATCTTTGATATTGATGTATAAAAATTCATATGGGTTATTATCTGAGCTCCCCACCCGTTTAAGTTAAATACTTATGCACCTTAGGTTATATGATAGCAAGGTATCAGTGCTATGGAGTTCGTATACTTCCAAAACCAGTTCTTAATGGGATTTCATACACCTCTTACAGACTTAGTCACCATTCAGGTTGCACTCGCTTCTACAGGGGAAGAAGCCAAAATCAATGTCAATGCACTGCAGTGTCTTCGCTATATGTGCTCAGTACTGACTGAAACGGCTAGATATGTGCTCGGCTTTGTTCTCACAAAAGAAACATACAGAGGGACTAGAAAAGGTTTCTAACACTAGATAAACAAATCTGGATTAGAAAGAACAAGATGGAACTGATGCTGGTCCGAAATAAGAATATGCCCATAATGGATAAGGATGAATCAATTTTCGGGGATGTGAACTTCCTGGCTGATACAGAGCATAGAAAGGTTAGTGGTCTAATAATACAGACATGGATACATACGCATGCAGGAGAATGCCGTGTGTTGAAGGCCGGACAGAAGCAGTTAGTGGTCCTGAGGGAATGGTAGCTAGTCCAGTTCTGTAAACCGCTGTCAGAGATACGCTGTTCTGCAACAGTGGATGAATTGATGACTTCAGAGGTGGAATGTAGGGGTTCATATCTGATATCTAAAATCACAGAGTAAACCGTTTTGAGTAAAGAGTGCATCTGTGTTTGATGGGAATGGATCAGGTATCTGCACTTTGAATAACTATTGCTGAATGGCTATCGGAAGCTGTTAATAACAGTCACCTAAATTAAATACACCTAATTACACCGAGATAGTTTCTTCAACGTCGATAAAGCCCGTGCAAAAATTGTTCTGGTGCTGTGAAATCCGAAGCAATATATGGCTCGAAGGGCAGTGGGTACAAATGGAAACAAAGTACACTATTGTTCTCAACTGTTTCGCACAGAGCTCCCAACGAATTGGGGTAAACAAAAACAATTGCGAACAGTATCAGCAACTCAAATACATAGTCTGTTTAGATAAAATATGTTGAGAGTATAACAATTAGACAACGTGCAGGAAACACGCAGTTGCTAGGGCAATAAAGCCTGCGAAACGGGCCCACGAAAGTTGATTAAAGTCAGCTCTTGTTGGGATTCCCGGACGGGGGTGTACATTGCACCTCAAGACCGGTTGCAAGTCCAAGTGACACTTAAATTTCGTAGGTTCATAGGCAATAAAAGCGGAATAGATATCCCGTCAAACAAACCCCAAAAACAAGCCCACGTAGAAACTGGAATGAATGAATAAGAAGATTCAAACAACGATAGGATAATGACCGAAACAATATCAGTGCACGGGAATAATACTTGCCACAACTGCGAGAAAATATGTTCCACAGAAGTAGTTATAGGGCTGCACCGACCAGATCAATTGAAATGGTCCCTCGTTTGCCGCATCTGATGACATTACTGAACTGAACAATGCGCAGTGGTCCACTGATTACCAACTTTTGCATCGAAAGCCAAAATGACACCAATGGAATTTATGACCGCAGCTTGTTACGGTAAACATTCAATGAGTAGTGTATAACACTTCGAACTTCAAAACATAGACTGATATTGCGAGGTCAGACTAGGGGACGGGGGGAGGGGGAATCACTGAGCAGTATCGGAATTCTTGAAATGCTTTAACGAGGCAGCGCACCATCAACACGTACGCGGGTAAACGCATATTCGCTTTGGACAAACACCTTCCATTTTAGCTTTGACTCGCACTGGACAGAAACGTGAGATGAGGCATTTAGGGCACGAGATATCCCTTGAAAAAAAAAACGGTCATAAAGTGCTCTCATTCAAACGAGGATTATCTCCTTCAGCAGATTGATGCGAAGTTTTAGAACAGTAAGACAATACGAAAGGACAGTTTCCGAGCGACGTCCAAGCCATTATCTGGCCATCACGAGACTCGCGGTTATCAGCATTAAAAAGATAAATATCACTACGGGATCACCTGGCAGAAATGACAAATAAACGTGCACATAAATCAACGGCGTGAAGGTAGAGATCGTTTACATCCCCACGAGGGCACAAAAGGTGGTTATTATGTAGCAGGTACTCATCCGTGTGATTGAATTTGACGTTAAAATGGCTAGATAGACTCATTCAAATCCCAAAAGTTATTATAGCCACACACAGTCGAAGACTGCGGTGAATTAATCGGTAGGAAAGCTGTAGGGTCTAGAAGAAGGGCTATCAGTCTGTTATTAAGACAATTGTTAGTCGATAAAAATTTATTTCGAGAACATCTGCAGAACAGCCAACGGACAAAAACCAAGCGAACACAGTACCTGTGGACTTATCTCTCCGATGGACAATATGTAATCACGAGTGAGGATGTATTGTGCAGTCTGCAAAACCCCAACTTTCATAAACTTGCGGTGTGCAATTCGACCGTGAGCAAACTACCACCATTGCCTCGTCGATATGACAGCATTTTGATGAGAAACAATAACCATTTCCATGGTACCCTTGGTGGTGGTGGTCAAATAGTTATGTCATCAATTTGTGACCAGGGAGTCCCGGGGTTCGAACCGCTTCACGGACGCACTTCTTCCCGCGCAGCCTTTGTATGTCCGTGACCGCCCCTCTCCAGAATGTTGACTGTAAATTTGTACATACAATAAATAACAAAGGAAGCAAAAAGACAAGACACATTTACCTAATGGTAAGAAAACAACCATCGTGAGGGTCATTCACAGAGAGTGAGTGGGCGAAAGTTACCAGGTAAATTCAGGTCCATAAGCTTACTACCGTATTTGGCAAAGGTTTGTAAATGCAGTTATTTCAAACAGCATGATTTCATCAAGAAATGTAAATTAATATTTCTCAGAGAACGTTACTCTGAAACTGAAAGAGGAACAGATACCCAGCAACATCCACTTAGACTTCATAAAGTACTTCGATTCTGCAAACCATAAACTCCCGCCTGCAAAGATGAGCATGCTAGCTGTCCTGAGTTTATTGACAAACTTATGGAAGTTCCTCTCAAGGAAAATGGCTGTAAGATTTGTGCAAAACAATCCTCATCCATGGAAGGTTACATCTCAAGGGAGTACGACAGGGTCTAATGTTGGGGCTGGTACACTTTCTACTGTTTATAAAAACCTTTCTTAGGATCTCGTATTAGATGAATTGTACATCACTCGATCACAACTGGAAACCGATCTGACCAAGTTTATCCAATGGACACGTCGGGGAGAGCCAGTGCCAAATGCTAGGAAATGCTGTGCTCTGAGTGCACACCGAAACAGAACCCAGTGAGTTGCGGTCAAGTAACTCGAATGCCTGACCTGCGGTTTCCCCTATTCACGAAGAATAAAAGCCCAGATACCAATGTTCACATCTGATTGGGAGAAGGGAGAACATCTACTCAGATCAAGGTGGTATAATCGACCCAAAATCTGATAAGCCTTATCCCTCTACATAAAACAGTGGTTATATATACTTCAACTGAAAGGAAGTTCGTTACACTGTCAGAGAGTAAAGTTTAGTCGCAGAGATGGATTGACAAATATCAAAGGTATGTTCAGACTGACAGACGTTTCACCATAGGGAGAGGAAAGCCGCTTTATTGCAGTTTTCACAATAACATCTATTTACGTGTTTATCACGCATTCTTTTTCTGCTGATAATGATGATTTGCAGCTTGTATCTAATCACTCTTCTACTTGTACCTGTCTAACACTTGATCCTCTTTAACCTCGTATGTTGGCACACACACACACATCTATCTACAAACCCGCCTGTCTACACCATCGGATTTACAATCACTCAAACCCATTATTCACATCGAACTCTTCCTGCATCGATCTCATAGGTGTTCGTCGTAAAACTAATGATCATGAGAAGTGTTTTGTTTTCACTGTTCTCATTTTGTTTTGAATCCCCTAAGTTCATCACTTCGCTAAGTTTGCGTACAATTCCGATTTTGTCTTCCACATCGCTGACTGTCTGAATGCTTGACCTTGACTGTCAATTTACACAAAGGTGATTTGTTTTTCTTTTATGTATGATGTAATTCGTTTGGTTCATCACATCGGTCACTGTTAGCCCATTTTACTTCTATAGAAACCGTGTATTACTGTAAAGATACTACACACATTACTTGTTCTCAGTGATATAAATAGGCTTTGCTGACTAGTATTGTTGTCGATTTCAGGATCCGTATTGGGATAGGCTTTACTCAGTAGTCGCATGGACGCCAAACAGAATAGATGTGGTCTTTATATCTCGGTTCTGACCGCGTCCGAACCAAGAGAAGACGTTTCGTTCGGTACAAAATCAATTTGGGGAGGAGTGAATTTGGCATTTCAGACTAAAAAATAGTGACACAAGTAGTTGGGTTTCTTGTGAGCTTTTTAGCTGAATGATATTGCGCAAATTTCCATTGATAAATTTTAGGCATACGCTAACGTGACAAGTGTCTCGGAGCGTTTTGATCCGACAGCCTATCATCGACGAATTCTGGGCATAGCATACCCAGTCTCTTACGCCCAGTCGTGTGAACAATTGTTCCATGGTAACGATCAGTACCAAAACGTGCTCGGTGGCACATCAGACATTGCCATTCTTACCACAGACGATCCATTCCCTTATATCCCGGGGGCGGTTGAATTCGAACAATTGGATCTCAGTTCCGAGTCGAATTTCTCGAAACTTTTGAATGAAGTGGTCCAGGCAGATGCGTTGGTGCTTGGATTCGGCAAAGAAGCTCACTCACAAACTACCGGAGTTTTGCGATTTGGTAAGCCTCATTGGACCCCATCTGTTGATTTGTTTTATACATTTTTTCCATATGTGCATCGATACTCATCCGGAAACATCCGGTTCACTTTGAACCGCCCTTTGAGTCCCCCGATGAGCGGGGGGCTGTATATATCAATTAGTTTACCACCACTGCAGCGAGAAGGCGAGCTGGCTGGGAAAAACGTCTATTGATCCAATTCAAAAGCAAACGATGTATGCGTTCGATTACATGCAATAAATTCTCAACCACGCGGTGGGATGATTCATGTCGCTTTCTGCGGGTCATTCCTTGTTGGTTTTGGTCCGCACTTGGCACTTACGTTGCTTCTTTTTTCCGCGTGCCATTCCGACTGGTTTGACCCGATCGCGGCGCGAGATGCGTTGATCGACGGCTCCGACGTTGTGGCATTCGGTGAATATCTTTCCCGTTAGCTGCGGATTGTCTGTCGGGCTGTAATTGTCGATTCGCTCGTTTCGGGTGGCAGTCAACATTGTTTCGCGAGGTACTTTCCGTCGCTGCGTCTGCACGTCTGGTTGAATGAGCCCTATTCTTGATTCGGTCGCTAGCCATAACTCTCTTTGTACTGCCTCCCCTCACACTAATACATACGTGATTTCACAATAAAAGGATGTCAGGTTGGTAAAAAGCGATGTACACATCCAAATTACATGAACCATTCCTTACTTCATGCTTCACAGAAACTCAATTATTCCAAATTCTGTTCCTTTTGATATAATGGAGTGCACGTCAGTGGATCCATGGACAGACATGAAACACAGTAAAATGTGTCGCAGGAATAGTAATCTAATCAGATAAACGAGTTTTCGCGAGAAATTGTGCGTACGAACAAGCTCAAGTCTACTGTTCACAATGGAATGGGTACTACGTATGAATAGGTTGGGCATTCATTGATGCTCATTATCATATTCAAGATAGCAATCATTCCAAACAATGATGATGTGATGTTGACCATAGCGTTCGTCCAAATCCGTTGACCGGCTCTGTATCAAACGCTGATGACGTTTGCATCAAACAGAACGGATTGCTAATAATTTGGGAATTTTAGGGCCTCACTCTCTCATTCAGGATCATGCTTGGCCGGTATTCCGAGAGGTATTTATGTTTTGAGACACGTCAGAGTAGTTGTCAATAGATACAATAACGTCTTATTATATGATGTCGATTTCTAGAGTAATTTCACGTGAACCAACCAAACTATTTTTAATGATCGTTGTTTATTTGGATAAGACAATTCATTCCCAAAGATTAGTGTTCGAATCCACGTTGGTAACAATAACTTGTTTATCTCACAAATATGTGATGCAATAAAAATTCAGGGAAGAGGAACTCATACAGAGGAGTACTGCAAGATGGAAGACGACCTTCAGATAAGAACTAATTTGGTTATCTAAGCTTTGTTATGCAGCTCCCAGGTTACATAAGATTAGTAGAGGATTTGATTCGGTCATATTGTAAATTTCGTCGCATGCGGACCAAATGAGGGCGTGGATTGCAAGGCCAGAAAGTAAGCTGGCAGTAGTCCAAATAGACGTAAGTCACGGATCATGAATCACAATCGAATCACCGAATCCTACTAATTGTCGTCTGTTGAAGTCTACCTCAACGAAACACAGCAAAAAGCCGCTGTAGTAATGGTTCATTTATTGTAAGGAATTTAAAAAGGGTTTAAATAATATGTACAAAGAAATTTCACTGACTGATCAGATTTTCACCAATTGCTTGCTTGTTATTTCTTCGTTATACACCTTCTGGTTGAATCCTGTGGCTTCGAATTGGTCAACACTATTAACTTGTAACTCATTGTACTGAAACTGTAATGCGCATAACCTTGGCTGGCTTTATCTCGGACGTTTGGATAAACACGAACGTACAATGGTTCCACCTTCAGGACGAGACTGCACCTTGACGTGGTGTGATGGCTTGCGTGCCTCCATGATCCTGCGAGCTACACAGGATGGCTTTTCACAGCCGTAGATCCAATCATGCCTGAAAGGTCAAGGGTAGAGGCCAGACGAAGCTCAGTCTCACAAAGCCAGCTGCTCGGGCACCCCCTGGCTTCTTTCTTCTATCCACACTCGTCCCTGGAGAAGTCACTCCAGTAAATAAACACGGCGAGGGGCAGATTACCGGTCAAAAACACCCCGCTAGATGGACGTAGGAGCGGGGTACCTGGGGCTTCCTCCCGACGTTGGGAGACATCTTCGCACTTCGTTGAGCAGCTACCACCCACCCAAACTGGGTAACTCCCAGCCCATAAGATGATGTCTTGTTCATGTTTCGCTTATTTCATTGGGTGCATGAGACTTAGCTCCAATCCCTAGCAGTGGATTGAAAACCAATAAACCAGCCAACACTGAAATGAAACCTAAATGCCTTGCGTGACAGGTCCATGGACGCTTCCACACAGTTGGTTCGTTCACGCTCTCACTGCAGTGTGGGTCAGAC